CCCCCCCCCCCCCCCCCCTGCTGGTATAAACAAGGAACAACTACAAGTATTTATAAATCAGTCGGCAGAAATAAAAGCATATATGCCTATATCAACATTTATCCTACTGGGTGAATTTGATATTTAATCATAGGTATTACAGCTTTCAATCTGTGTGAATTTGATAAATATTTACTGAATCTTCTATTTACATTTATCTTTACCTTTTCATCCAGTCTTTTGAGCTTCACAGCCCTTGCCCGAGCCTTTTTTGTTTTTGCCACAATTGCCTTGTTATCCAGTGGCATATTTCCAGAAACAAAAACCATAGGATTTTAAATAATAACATAAGAACAAAATAATTGGAAAAAATTTAACAATCAGACCAACAATAAAGAATTTTTACCAAGGCGAAATTTGCCAACTTTCATTTGTGCAAGCACCTTGAAACCTTGAAACATTTATCCTCATAATCCCCCTATTAACCCTGCTAGGTCTGGCATTACCCCCAAGAAACCAATTGTTCAAGGGCCAAGACAAATTGCACAATTTTGGAAGTCAAATTAGTCACCAGTCTTTTGGAATTTTTGGCACAGACTTAAAAAATTTGTCACACTTTTAATTGATGCTTTGGCGTGCATTTTGTCATTGGATGGCATGTGGGTAACCTTAGTAAATGAAAGTACCCCCAAACAGCTTCACTCATTCTTATTTATTATTATTTTTATTTAATCTTATTTTACAATGGTAGGCCCTTCAGTGAATTACAACTGATTTTCAAGGGGCTGTTGCTAAATTAATGCACAAGAAACATACATATATTACATACTAAAAATTCTAAAAAAGGTATAAAATGTTATAAAAGGTATTACTTTATTTACAAGCTTGTTCCTCCATGTTATTGAGACTGACCAACTGATATTGCTCTATCTTTTGCGCACTTCGGCAGATCATTCCAAAGAGCAGCACCTGAATAACTGAAGTTTTTTTCAAATAATTTGTATTCGGTTTTGGAAGTGCAAAATCTAATTCATTACTGCGAAGGTTATAGTTTTTATTGTTGCTAGTGTTAAACATGCTCGTCAGGCTTTCGGGAAACTCAGTATTTCTTATTTTATACATAAATATTGCCCTTTTGTCTTTTCTTGGGTCTAGCAATGGTTGTCATCCTAAGTTTTTACAATCTCACTTGAACAAGTTTCATAGATTTTCCAGTTGTGACTCTTGCAGCCCTGTTCTGCAGTTTTTGTAATTTTTCTAGTAGATATTTACTGCAATTATCCCAGACAAGGCTACAATAGTCAAAATGTGGCATTATCAGTGCACTGTATACAGTCCTTAAAGTTTCATGGGGAACATAGGCTTTCATTCTCCTTCACATGCTCAATTCCTTGGTAGTTATTTTGTCAATTTGATTTCTCCATAGTAATTTTTCGTCAATGACAATACCTAATGTTTTTGCTTGTTTAACTCTTTTTATATCAATACCGTCAAGACTTATCTTTGGATCGTCATCAATTTTTGCTAACCGCTGCCGAGAGCTAATTATCATATAAACTGTTTTTGTTAGGAGTTAATTTGTTGGTTAATTACAGCCACATGTGAATATTTTCTAAATTGGAAATTAACCGGTTTTGTATATCTTCTATTGGACTTTGCAGATGTTGTTAAATTTGTATCGTCAGCAAACATACTAGCTATTGAATGAGATAGCTAGGCAACTTGGGAGGTCATTTACGTAAAGTAAAAATAATAACGGCCCCAAAGTAGAGGCCTTGTGGTACACCACAGCAAATAACATGTTCCTGAGATATAGTACAACCAATTTTGCACATCTGACTTTGTGTATTTTCACTGCACCCATACAACTTTAGTTTTCTCATTAGAATATTGTGATTTACACAATCAAAAGCTTTTTGAAGGTCTAGGAAAATAACTCCATTTAAATATCCTTTGTCCATGTTAATAAACCACTTGCTAGTAGAATTTAAAAGCGATGTTTCTGTCGAGTTTTTCTTCCTAAAACCTGCCTGTTGTTGTGTGAGTATGTTTCTCGTTTCCAGAAATGTTGACAATTGATTTGATATAAGTTTTTCAAAAACTTTAGCTACAACTGAAAGTACTGAAATTGGCCTATAGTTATTGCATTCTAAATTGCTTTCTGATTTAAAGATTGGTGATAAAAACACCAGTCAACAGCAATTGGTTAAATATTTGAGTTAAGCTAGATGTTATCACACCAGCTGAGTCTTTTAAAAGTTTAGGTGATATTCGATCATGGCCCGTAGCTTTGGATTAGGATAATGCCTCGACCTCTGTTACATTCTGTAATTTGAATGTAGTCATTTTCAGGTTTAATATATGACTCGGGTGTACAGGTTTAATATATGACTCCTTGTACTTTCTGGTAGTTTTTGAGCAAGAGTTGTTCCAATTTCATTGAAAAAGCTGTTAAATGTATTTACAATACATTGCCAGAAATTTGATACAACATGGCGCCTCAGGCCCAAAACGGCATAATTATTAGACGTATGCACACAGCCCGAATGCAAGAAATATATAAGATAAACACCACTCACCTCTCTATCCATCTCTGTTATTTTCTCGCAGATTGAGTGTAGTGTTTTCCACAAGTCCCAGTTTATAGAATAGTGTTCAAACAATGTTAAGGAGGCAAAAGTAGAGCTGTTTTGAACATGCAAACCGGTTCCAAAAGTTCTTGAAAATGAATGCCAACAAACAGTATTATCTGCCATATTTATTCGCTTTTTGAGTGCTGCACGACAAGTTTAGGTCCTCATGATATCGTCACATTACAACTGTTTTTTTGTCCACAAGTCTCGTTCGTCACAGAAGAATCAACAGAAGATCAACTCGATTTCTATCCAAAAACTCTCAACTGTTCAGCAATTTAAACTGGTTCCAATTGCCTTTAAAGAAACACATTTTTCACCCTTGCGCGAACTGTAACATTTAAATGATAATGGCCTTCCTCTTCTGCAAAAAGTAAAAAGGCTGCTTTTGAAGCCTTTGAAGGCTATTTTTAAAGCCTTCTTGTCTGCCATTTTGTTTGTTGTTATGCAATGTAACCTCCCCTTATTTAACAGAGCAAAATACTGCCTATCTAGGGCCCCAAAAGGCATTTTAAACCCAAAATCTAGTGCGAAAATATTGAAATTTTACGCACGGCAAGATGTCTGAAAGAAGACCTTTATTTTGTGTTGAAGTCCTCTATCCGGTTCTAAAGGTATGGCATAACTATAAACGTACAAACACAACTATCGATTACATCGACCTTCTCGAGGCAACTATTCCTGGTGGATGTTTTGTGTTCAGCCATGAGGAAAGTGTTTGGAAAGAGGTTGACGACAACCTAGCTAGAATTGCAGACTTCATGGCTCAGCTATATAGAAAATCAAAAGGACGATATCAGCAAGATGTTGATGATAAAGTGAAGAAATTTCATGTATTTCAGGGACAAAACAAAGAAGTAGCTAAATTCAAGGCTGAAATTTCAAAAGTAAAAGATGAATTGGAATTTCAGTCAACCAAATTGCAAGAAGAGATTGACGATTGGCGTAAACACGAATACAAGTCGTTTCGCCCCCAAGTCGATTCGCCCCAAGTCGTTTCGCCCCCAAGTCGATTCGCCCCAAGTCATTTTGCCCCAGTGGCTAAGTCGATTCGTCTCAACATTTCGTTGCCAAACAACTTCAAATGATGGATTAATTAAAAATATAGTCAAGAATACACAGACATATAAATGTTGTCATTGTCACTGAGTAACTATTTGCAAGCTACCGTTACGCGTGCGATTTTTTTCATGAATGTTTACGTTTCAAACATTTTATATTGTCTGTTTCATTCCATACATATTTTGAAAGAATGGTATAATAACGGGATTGAGCCATTTTTCTATTTATAATTTGATATTCTTTCGTTTTGAAAGAATATTGTTTCGTTCGCCCATTGTAAAAACTAATCACTGGGTTGATTACAGACTTTGTCAAACCTTTTCGCGCTTTTGTTTTCGTTTGAAATGTTACGTAGTGAATAGGTTTTTGTGTGTTTGCCGTTTGGTCCATATGTCCACAATACTCGCGTTTGTTTGTTTGTAAGAGATATTAAATTCACTAGCTAACTTGGGGGCGAAACGACTTGGGGCGAAGCGACTGGGGGCGAAGCGACTTGGGGGCGAAACGACTTGGGGGTGAAACGACTTGGGGGCGAAACGACTTGGGGGCGAAACGACTTGGGGGCGAAACGACTTGGGGGCGAAACGACCGGTTACCATGAAAACCTTGAACAGGAGAAAGAAAATCTGTTTAACACAATGGAAAGTACATTGAGAGAAAAAGATAGGGTCATTGGTCATTTAAACATACATCTAACAATGAACTGAAACAGTATATAGAAAATCTTGAGAAGCAATTCGTTTACCCAAAGCAATACCAAGGGAAAACAGTTTCTGAAAGTAAAAACAAGAGCAGGACAATAAAAAATTTCTTGTCTAGAGCTGAAGTTGCACTTTGGTTGAGTGAAGCATTTCGAATTGAAATAGAAGCACTCCATGTAAATGAACCTGACACTGGAGCCAAACGCTTGCTGTACTTTTCTGTGAATAATAGGGAGTCTGAAAGTGTGCCAGAACAAAAAAATTCAAGGTACAGCTCCCTTGACGAGAATGAAAGAAAAAAACAAATTGAGGAAATTTTATTTTTACTAGATAAGTTCTGTGTTCATGGCGACAGTTTTTATCATGAGCTATCCATGTTACACCAAGGACTTCCAAGGTCATATTTAATCAAACAATGTGGAGATGACTTGAATGCAATGTGTCACATTGATAGACTTCCTGGTAGTTCTGAAGGGGCTAAAGTCCACTCAATTAGAGAAGTTATTGTTGAACATGTGAAAGAATATCTTGCAAAGTTAGAAAATTTTGATTAATCAAACGATAAAATCCAAATAAAAGTAAGCGGAGATGGTGCTAAGATGACACATAACTCAAAGTTTGTTTTGATTTCTTTCTCTATTCTTCAACTTGGAGAATCAGTCGTGTCATCCAAAGGAAATAAAACAAGCCTAATGGGATCAGAAAAAAGGTACTGCTACAGAAGCTCCTAGGCAAACTAGACCAATGCCTGCGTCCTGACACAGTATTATCAATAGTAAAACTTTGGTGCGATTTTTCTTCTTTATACACACGACTTAGGGATTGGAAGCCCGACATAAGCCCAGCTGATTTTTTAGAGAAAGCTAAAGAATGGGTAAACCAGTTCACATCACTTGCTGGACAAGGAGAAGGATATGAACATTCCTGCATTACTCCATACATGCACATTATGGTGGCCCATATCCCCCTTGGTTCTTACAAATGTGTAAAACTGTTAAGATGTTTACAGGCCAAGGGGTAGAAAAAAATAATGATGTTGCCAGGTCAATTGTTTTGAGAAAATCACAGCACTATGACTCTGTCAGTGATGTCCTGAAACATGCATGAAGCTAGGCAATGGACCCATCGTGGTGCAGAACAAGACACAAGAAGATATGTCAAGTGCAATGCAAATTACTGGGAGATGATTATCTTTGAAAAACGATTTTGCAAGAGGCAAATGCCAGCTTTGAGCCTGAATCGAGTTCTGAAATTCCTGACAATGCAGCTACAAACTTGGAACTCAATGCAAATTCTGACTTCAGAAAAATGACTGTACCACAACTGAAAGAACACTTGAAGAAACAAAACATTAAAGGCTATAGCAAGAAAACAAAAGAAAAACTAATTATGCTGTTAAAAAAAAATTTAATCACCATTAAATAAAACAGGAGTTACTTTATTAAAGGTATATAAAGTGCATATAGAACCCTTGCTTTGTTTACATTTTCTGGCAGGCAAAAATTTAAAAAATGTTCCAACGAAAGCTTTGTCATTCTCAGATGCATTGTTCATGCAAACAAAATAGAGAACATATTATTTTGCCTAATCAGAATTGTAAGACAAAATAAAATGTAAACAAGGCAAGGGGTCATGTTGGTGAAAAAATTTAATAGTTCTTAAATTAATAGTATCAAAAGTACATGTTAACTGTTGTAATGTAAATATTTACATCTTATATATATTTTATATTTATATGATTGATTTCAGTTAGAAATACTGCTATACCTTTTTGCCAAGCATTGAAATAGGCTTTCTTATAAATCTATTGACAGTTTTTCTAATGGCATTCTCAGCGATTTAACAAGACATTTTAACATTTAACTTTTGTCTGAAGTTGAATAGGAAACAAAATTTCGGCCCCATCACCATTTTTGTGAAACTGAAAGCAGTCATGTTGGAAAGCAATGACAACAGGAGACCTTGACTTGCTTTTAATTTTTGCCCAATAGCACAAATTAGGGCATCAACATTGAACATAGCCTTTCTAGTGGAACAGGTGGCTTGGCATTAGCGGATCAGAAATTAGGATCTGAATAATTTTTTAAACATTTGGGCAGTCCTCCATACCATTTTAGAATAGCCATTGGTGCTGACAGGGCCCATTTGGGAAGGATGATGAGGCAACAGCATGGCTTCTCTCCTTCTAAAATGTCCGAAAACATATTCTCAGTCAGAATGATATTTTTTTATTGTGTGGGGCTAATTACTCGGAAAGTCATACTGGCATGAATAGATTTGCAGAAAAGTTACTGCATGATATAAGTTCATCTTGAAAAACAGGTGTACACTGTTAATGGCATTGAGGTTTGGTTTTCTATTCAACTTCTCCCATCTGACATGAAATGGCTGTCAACTGTAGCTGGGGAGCTGAACAATGCAGCATACTATTTTTTCGGCATTCGGCAACATCAACAGTTATAATAAAATTGTATTAAATGGGTCATTAGGAGAAGATAAATCTTGTACTTGGCAAACATGGGATGATAATGAAAGGCTGCAAAAAAGTTGCAGAGAAGGAGCAATTAGCCAAAACTACTGTTTACTTACTGTTTATCAGGAGTCAAGGTTCTTGGGAATATGAGCCACTGCTAGGTAAACTTATAGATTGTGCATATGCAGAGCCTCTTCATAACAGCAACAATGCTTGGCAATACTTACACTACATTATGCTAGAGATGGCTTTGGAAAAATCCAAACTTAATTCCACCAGGTTTCGCAAATCTTGAAAAATTTGCCAGAAAATTCCCCTATTTTGGTTTATTTGAAGTCACTCAAAGTCACCTGGTTAGTTAAGAAGGCTGACATGCTGGTTTAGGGATGGTCAAAAGAGTTCTTTTTCATACAGATTTACAGGAGAAGAAACAAAGGTGTTCTGCCATAAATTCATGTTTATAATTCAATGCCTTTAAGGAAAGCAAAGTATGGGAAAGATATGGCTAAGTTTGGGCCATATATGACCCATATGTGGGCATGATATGGGATAGTATAGACATCATATGGGATTGGTATGGTGTCTAAATTTGTTAAATATTGAGATATGGAAAACCTATGGAAACAAACACATTGCTATTAATCCTATGGAAAATCTGTGGGGTTACTTGGTCCATAGGTAATCCATATCAATGGCATACTTTTACATATAACCAATTATATGGTAGTCTGAACTTGGTGTAGTTCTGGCCTCCTCGGAATAGGGAATCCATACATATGATTTTTATGGCAATGCTATGCCAACCCTTACACAAAAATTTCCTATAGGAAATTAAATGGACCTTTAACCTTATAACTAAAATTTTGATCTAAATAAAAATTTTATCACAGCTTGAAAGAGCGTCACAAAATTAGTAATATGCCAAAGTTTCATTTCGAAATGTTGTAAAATGCGGATAGTATAGCCCTGTGAAATTTGCAATTTTCAGTCACTTTAGATTACAAACGGGAAATTGATACCCAAATCGGGTGTTTGGGTATCAATTTCCCCGTTTGTAATCTAAAATGACTGAAAATTGCAAACTTCGCAGGGCTATACTATCCGCATTTTACAACATTTCGCAAGGAAACTTTGGAATATTACTTATTTTGTGATGCTCTTTCAAGCTGTGATGAAATTTTTGTCTAAATCAAAATTTTAGTTATAAGGTTAAATGTCCATTCCTATAGGATTTGAAAATTCCTATAGGAATTCATATAAGATTTGAAAATGGTGAAAATCCTTTATATATATACATATAGGAAATAAAAATTCCTATAGGAATTCCTATAGGATTGGAAAATAAATAAAGTTCTTATACCCATGCATTTTACACTATTCCTATATCACATTTTATTCATAAATTTATTTTCTAACATTAAATGAATCATTACTGCAATGTGTGCAACCGACAGACTGGTGCCTATTTTTCTTGCCATGCGCACAAAGCATCTTGGGATAGGACATCACACCTCCAATATTTTTTCAAGTTTTTATTTTTAAGTTTGTGAATGGTTTATGTTCAAAATAGAACTATTTTTGATGAGATTCAACTCGATGTTCACTAGTAATACATCAGCAATGCTTGTATAATGTTCAGGTGAGAATATGTTTATATTTTTTTATAATAAAGCAAATTATAAAGGAAATACCTAGTCCAATCTTCATTCGTGAAATTTGAGCATGTGTTTCTATCGGTTTAAGGTTACAGGATACCCTAGACATGCCTTTCGGGAGATCCGCTGTAACTCGATTAATTTTAATCCAAATTCCATCAAATTTTCACCAAATGTAGTTAGATAAATGCAGTATAAGATGTTTTTATCATATGTGCGAAAGAATAAATACTTATTCAGATATTTGCCGAAGTCTGAAATCGCGGTACTTCCGCGCCGTGAAGTTTGTTAGACCCTGGTTTTACTCAAATCCTATAAAAATATCATTTTCACTCTTCTCAAAGGTTGTTCTAAAAAAAGGTGTTCGCGTTTTGTAGTTGCTTTAGGGGTTCATGAGTTACGGCATATTCGTTGCAGCCCATGCTATATTGCAACTAATTGACAACAAAAGGCTTGTAACTTGCTTATTATTTGAATAAAAAGCTCGCGCGCGCACACCGTTTTGTAGCCAAAATATGTACCTATGCTGTGTGAAAATTTGACAAAAATCGGTTAAAACGCACGCTTAACAAACTTTATTTAGTGTGTGTATTCAACTCAAAAGTCAAGTGCCTCAAAAAGCGCTTTGAAAATTTCGCGGGTTTTCTTTCAGTGTAATTTAGGTGTAATCAGGTACTCCGCCCACTGTGACGCACTGTCATTATTAAGTTAATCCGATGACAGATATATAACGTTTGCGGCAAGACTACAATATATAATCAAGTCATGCCTAAACGAAAAGAAAAAGCTGAGGCTCAAAATAAGACAAACCAACGCGCCACAAAAAAGCGCAGAATTTCAAAAGCGACAAAAAATGCAGAACAGCAGAGTTCAGCTGATGGCGATGTGGACTACAAAGAAAAACTAATGGCAACGATGAAAGATAAAGGGTAAGGAAACTTAGGTGAATTTTGTCGCATTTTGATCCGACGATTTTTGCTAGTTGACGTTATAGAAAGCCATGCATTTGTTCTCTCTCTTCAGTTACGATGGAGCAAACTTTGTAAAAAATATTGAGGCTGGTGTTGAAGACAGGCTAAAGAAGCGTGGTAAACCACCTAGAATTGTACGGTATTTCTTTTATTGTGGATGGGCACACGCGCTGATCGTAAGTTTACAATCGGTTATATATATAATTGCACCTGGTTTGTTGGCATTTTTGCACAATTTGCGTTTTTATAGTAAGCCGCGCATCGTAACGTTTTTGGAAAGAAAGGCTTTATTGTAAAATGTCATTAAATTTTCGTTCATTTATAGAAACAGGGAATCGGTCCGAAGGATGCTGCCTATGGATATCCTGTCGAAGTATTGAATTTCCTGAGAGATATCGCGCCAGGTGATGTGAAAGGAGAGATAAGAGAAGTGAGTTTGATCAATTCTGTACGCAAAGCCGAAGGTCACTAAAAGCCGATCAGCTAGGGAACGAAAGGGCTAATTCTAATAAAGCTTTTCCAGTTTTACCGGTAGACATTACCCTAGATTCCAGAGCCTTCGACAGTAAATAATAAATTGAAACGTCGCGAAGGCTCTGGTTCAACGGGGAGATTCTTTGATTAAACCGCGCCAATCACAAAACAGAATTAGTGGTTTTAGTTCAATTTATTATTTACTGTCGCAGGCTCTGGAATTCAGGGTAGGTAGACATGCACTTGTGGCTAAATTATGGCAAAAATGATAAGTCGCAAATCGATGTTTTTATTCTGATTCTAGGATGCTTACAATATTGAGCTGGACATCTTTTGTGAAGCTTTGAAGATTCCGAAGTTGTGACCGTATAGACTATAGTGTTTGTCAAATATCACTATAATATAACTATAATAATTAGGTTTAAAAATATATGTTTTACAGTAATTATGATAACCATACTCATGTAAATATACTTAAATATTATATTCTATAATTATATGCTAGTAAATATTAGGCAAATTAACTGTTCTAAATTATGGGTATTTATTCATCTTGACAGAATGATTTTAGGGTGATGGTAATATTGAGTGAAAACTATACAGGGTGTATAAAAAAAGAAGACTCTTTCAAATTCAAATTAGCCATAATCTACTGTATTGTAGTAATTTGACAGCCGCGATTGCTTCGAACTAATGAACGCATAAAAACACAAAGTCTGACTACTACACATGCATGAGACTTTAGGACAACTTCTAATCGTATAAAACCTTGTGTTGTTGTGCATGCATTAATTCCAAGCTATTATGGCTGTCAAATTACTACAATAGGTTATGACTAATTTGAAATGGTCTTTGTTTTTCACAAATACAAAACTAATTAGCCTTCTTACTCCTTCCTTTTCCTTTGCCCTTTGCTTTTCCCTTTGGGGTAGAAGTATAGAACGCCTGAGATTGGTACTGTACCCCTTCCTTATGGACAAAGGCATCAGCTCTCTTTGACTTTATTCTTTTGTACCTCTTTCTCCTTTCTTTCACCTCGTTCTTTTCCTTGTAGTTTCCTCCATAAACCCGTTTTTTGTCAATCGCATTCCAAGTCTCTCTCATGTTTTCCGAAACAGTCACACCAATCATAGGGAGGAGCTGGGAATATGTCACTTCCATACCACAGTTGAAAATTAGTACCCCAAGGTTGACTCCCAGGCTATTCTCAACTTGCGACGTATATTGATCCTTTGGTGCAAAGCCCCAAATTACGTGGTGCAAGCTTTCGTTAGCATTCTGAGTTGAACATCTCTCGCATCCCGCAAGGAACTTTTCGTCACCTAGCTTATCAAAAACAGGCTTTATCACCTCAACTACTGCTGGAGGAAGAGGATCCTTGATACACCTGTGGGTTTTGGTCTGGTTAGCTATGTCTCTCTGATAGCTACACCATGATGTGGGACCAGCAGGGCAACAATCGTGCTGAGGGTTTCGCTCCGTGCTGGAATAATGGTGGAGTATTGCTTTCGTGGCTTTCGACATTGCCTTTGCATTACCCTTGTTTTGACGTATGCAGAGCCCATAAAAGCTTTGAATCGTGTCAGTGCGGGCAATTGTAAGGCGTCCTGCACCTCCAAGCCCCTTTCCATCTGCTAGTTTCTTTCCTTAAAATTCAAGACAATTTGCAACAATAAAGGATCAGTCAAAAACTGCAAGGAAGTGGGCTGGAAAGATCAATGGTGAAGGCGATAGGCTATACATATGAAAATATATAATCTATCCAAAATACATTTTGACATTGATTTTTACAGTTTGTTCTATTAAACAGAATTGTCAGCTATAGTGCTGTGGCAAATTTGGAAGAGTTGGTTTTGGTTTTTTTCTAGTGACCTCAGTGACCCCATGAGGTGCTACCATGGTTGGTGGCAAGCTAAGAAATTTTAAAAAGTTGGATCTTCTAAGTTGTCAGAAATGGCTTTTTAGGACCTTCTTTGCCCCTTTATTTGTGTCTTCTAATAAACAGTTATGAGTCATATTCATTTCAATTCATTTTTATGCAGACTTTTGAATGTTGTGCTTCTCAATGGATCTTGAGTAAAGTTTGGACACTCCAGAAGCCTCCATTGACTATAAACATAAAAAAAATAAAAACAGAAAAAAATATTTAGCCATAGGCATAAACAAAGTAAATTTGAAAATCGAAAGTTCTGATAATTTTACAAGCATAATTCCATAATATGCCTGCACTCCGAATAAAGCATTTTGATTTTACCCCCAGAAAATTTCATGTATAAATGTAATATTACCTGAGCGCTACCATCATGGTTCAGTTGGCAGTTTGGTTCATGCTTGATGTACCACGGGTCCGCTTATCTTCCATTTGCTTGCAATGGCGACATGAGCTTGTCATAAACACGACATCTATTACCTTTCCGGTGTCTTCAGATACGGCAGCCACAACTCCGTCTCTTGCAGACCATCCTCTGCTGCTCCACGAACAGTCAAAACTTGTAGCGCAATCAACCATTTTAGTTTTCAACTGGTCGTCCATGCAATCTGGAATTTCTCCAATGCAGCGCTTGAAATTTCTCAATTCGAGTACGGCGTCTTCCATGCTGATATCTGTAAGTTCTTTTGATTTTGTCTCTAGTTCTTTAGTGTACTTACTCCATGTAAATACGGGCGAAGAAAGATCCATCATGCTTAGGCACTTCTCTGCTGCAGCTCTCCCTTTTCCGATTGCTCGGAAGGCGGCAACTGACGATGCGTTGATGGAATATTTTTGCCCAGAATAATCTGAAATCGGCACGGAAGCGCGTAGTTGATGAGAAACGCAATTCTCATTCGTACAAAGGAAAATCCATTTTGCTCCCAACCCTTGTCTTGAGTTTTCTTTCTCGAGTATTGATAGTGGACAATGGCATTCCTTGCAGACTGCTGAGTTATCGACCATTTCTTGTAGCCGTTCTGGTTCAACAATGTAACGTCCAACAGTTGGTTGAAAGCCATCATACTCACACACATCAATGTCAGAGTTACATGATTCCGAGTTCGACGACGATTCAGAACCCGATTCTCCAGCTTCTCTTTTGTTCAAGCTTTCCATACTTTGGTTTAATTTTGCTTCACTGCGAGAGCAACTTCCAGCAATGTCAGGGTTCTCCTTGTCTTAAAAAGTATGGGCCACTGTGTATCTTGTTGGAAATACGAACCGAGGTCACTTTCGGCCAGTGATTTCTTTCTTTCCTCTGTGAATAATTTGTTAGTCTTGGCTTTGCGTTTCTTCCGACGGCCGCAAAAAGGGTTTTTATTGGCTTTGCCAGAATCAGCTTTTATTCGCGGCATTTTTTCAGCAAATAGTTGCAAGAGAAATGTGCGTCTACAACCGCATGTTGTGATAACGGATACGAGATGACATATACACTAATTGAATTGCACAAGGTGTCGATTTTCTGTCAAACGCATTTCCCGCCAAACATATAGACTTCAAATGCGTTTTACTAAATAACCTGTTTAATTTTAAAGATACTGATTTACATTTTTTTCCAGACGACAGTTTTGCTCAAAAGCAATAAGAACATGTGAAGAAAAAAAAAAATCAAAATTTTTACGTTCTAGGGTATCCTGTAACCTTAAAATTTGAATTTGCCGCAACAATAATGGAATTAGAATGCTGATATAAATATATTTATAGCTGGCATTTATACTTGAATAAATGCTACTATAAGAGTTTTGTATTTGAATTAGACTTATCAATGTTTATTGGTTAACTCATTAAGGTGCAATGCGCCCTCAAATGATACCTCAACTTGCCGGCATGATATTTGAGCACATGTTTATCGGGTTGCTTAGCAACGGATACGAAAATAGAACATGAAATTCGAGATTTTCAATGGTGTATCATGCAAGAAACTCGGTCAGAAACTCACAAAGTTTTTCAAGTTTAAAACCTTAGTTTTTCAAAAATAATGGCAATACTGTTGCAAAGAAGGATTTCACAGCAAGTTTTAAAAGCAAAACAGAAGAGGTTTTTGAATGATATACAACGAAATTTGGCATCAAAGGAAAGCAAATGTATTGGCGTTTTGGGCCAAGTTCTTCTGTGAACCATGTGCAAGATTTTCAGCCAAAAAGATGAGGATTTCTCAAACTTTATTAAAAATAGAAGTCAGAAATCACAAGAAAGATGAACATGGAACACAAGTGAGCAGATACGATTTTTTAAAGGGTATTTTTGAGTAGAAATTTGCTATCAAATACTCACAAAATTCAACCGCATTAATGTTGGTTGAATCTAGTTTAAAGTTATCTTTTTAGACAAACTGTTTATGCAAATTTGGGCACAATTTCGACTGTTTTCGTGACCCCATTGTTGGTCTTCTTGTTCAAGTTGGTATTTTAGCTAAAGTATGTTTCAAACGACTTAACGACACCAGATTAAATTACTGTGTGTGTATGTGCCCTATTTGGCAAGAATACTTCGAGTACTAGAAAATACATGCATGCAGAAACCCTCGCCTTGCTGACAAAACCATTGTATTTTTCGAACATGAAGTATCCAGAGCAGTTGTCATGGTAACACGATAATTTTTTAAGAATATTCTTACAAATCTCGTAAAAATATCACTTTTAATTACAAAATTATCAATTTCCCAACATATATGTGTTAGGTATGTTATTATACGTAATATAGGCTTCAATTTAAGGTAAAATGCGACCACAAACGCTTCGCAAAACGTTTTAAAGTGTTCTTTATAAAACTAAACAGCCTTTTATAATTAAATGACTTTATCAATAAACTTTGAATTTGCAATAAAATGATTTCAAATTCTCGCTTGCAAATAACTTTGCTTTCTTTTTTATTTAAAAAATTCAATATAATAAAAAAGGGAATCAATATTAAAGATACACTGAAATTATATGCTGTCTTGTTTAGTTGTTTCATATACGCAAAGGCCGTCGGGTTTTAAATACATTATAAAATCAATATTTAAAACAAACTTACCTTCATTAACGTCGGCTCGCTTCTTTTAGCTGATTCTTTCTCCCTTTCTTTATGAGAAAACTCTTGAAATTTACAAAATCTTGCAAAAATGCGAGTAAAAAATAAATCAATCATCAAATCAAGAAATGTTTGCTATTTCGCTGTCGTCATGCAGTCATTATAATGCAAATTTTAAATTGGACCAATCAGTATCCACTATTCATGACAGTCCGCCACATATTTGAGATCAGTGAGGATGACCACCCACGGTTGGGTGACCCACGCCCGCGATATTTGATAAACTTTAGACTCCACTAATGCTTTCGTTTCCCCGGGGTAAATAACCGGGGGGAATTAGTACCCTCGCACGGCGCTTCGTGCCGTCGGCTCGGGGATTA